AATCAGACTATGCATTGAAGATTGAGATTGAAGATTGAAAAATTCAAATTTGACCAATCGAAATGAAAGGAGCTAAAATTTCTTTGTCCTTATTGGTCAAATTTCAATCTTCAATCTCAATCTTCAATGCGTAGTCTGATTCCGGCCTTAAGTAATGTCTTAAGATACTAATACAGCCCTCTGATTGGTTCGTGACATCTCAAGATTGAACTTAAGACGGTCTTGAATATAAGAACTGACTATGAATACCGGCCTTAATATGCTAATGCGGTTCTTTGATTGGTTCGTGACACCTCACGACTGAACTTAAGACGATCTTGAATATAAGAACTGACCGTGAATATCGGTCATTGAGTTTTAAATGCATATACACCGATAAACACGTTTATTAAACTAATAAATCATAAAATTAGTACAATGTTATCAGTTTTTTACTCTTAATCACTTCAATATTAATTAGAGATCCTCTAATCAGAGTCGCGACATCAGACAGCCAGTTTTGATTGGTCCGCCATTTTTCAGCAATTTCCGCCTATAAAATATCTATATTGTAGGAATGGGCGATGCGCGTATCGATACGCTAAAATTCGTTTGTAAATTAACTTATTTTGCAAAAATCAATTTTTCCAACCAAGATGGTGCCATTTTAAACCAACATTTTTACAAAGAATCGTTTCTTTTTTTTTAACAAGGTTAAAAACTTCGTCTACTTCGAATCGATATAATCGATTTTTAGTGTTCCGATACGGATATCGCCCAAAGTATATACATTTGTATTATTGTTAGAATTAAACATTTTTAAGTATTATTATTACTAGATAGATTTTTCACATTATATGTGGAAGTAATGTTTACTAAAAGAATTATGTTTTATCTTTTTTTTTTATCAAAGTTATGCATTTTTATCATAGATATGCATTTTTCGTTGGTGTTCAATTTTTTCCAACATTTATTGCCCATAATGTTCGACGTTTAGCATCACGCGGAAATATTTTCATTACGTAGCCTTTCGCTGCAGAATTAGTGCAAAATGGGGCTGCACACCCAACCATTTTGCAATTATTTTTATTAATCTTCTAATAAGTCGTATTAATCTTCAAGAGCAGAAAGATATGTCACAACTCACGAGAAACTATCAAGGTTAAAAAGAGACACAACGTATTCCTCTCTCTTTCGTGTGATTTTGCTGAAACTAGAGACCCTTAAGAGAAAGAGACCGTGAAGAAAGTCTCTAACTAGAGTCTCTTTTTCTCGTGTCGCGACTCTGATTAGAGGGTCTCTAATATTGACTTCTGCTACACGGCACGCTTAATCGGGTTTAATAATATCCGTAGTTATGAAACTGGCCAATCACAGTTCCATTCTTCCGAGGAACAGCTATGATTGGCCAATTTCATAACTACGGATATCATTAAACCCGATAGGTTCTTAATATTTATTCTTGTTCCTAAGGCCAGAATCAGACTAGGCATTAAAGATTGAGATTGAAGATTGAAAAATTGAAATTTGACCAATCAAAACAATAGGAACTAAAATTCCTTTGCCCTCATTGGTCAAATTTCAATCTTCAATCTTCGATCTCAATCTTCAATGCGTAGTCTGATTTCGGCCTAATACTTGTTCTATTGTGCGCAGTCCTTAAAGCGGGGAGCACAGACTCTTGCATAACGCATAACACGTAATGCATAAGAAAATGGCTGCGTTCAGCAGACTCAACAGTTTTGCAACCGTTTTATGATTGTCTGCTGAGATAGGACCATTCTTCTAGATCTAAAAATATGATCCAATTAGCGCGAAGGAAACTTCCAACAGTTGCAAAACAAACGTTCTGCTGAACGCACCCAATGTCTCTACTTATAACTAGTGTCCCTAAATACAGAGTCTGGTCAAGTCATGTATCTCTTTTGATTGGGTCACGTCAGCGCGAACACACAATGGCGTTACCAATGAAAACGTTGATAAATCGCGCGCTTATTTAAAGAACTAAAAACATGAAATATTGTAAAATATTTATTGCAATTCATATACTGTAAATAAGTTATTCTCGCTTTATTATTATATAACAATATTATTTAATAAGAGAATGCATTGCCATGGTTTTGCTATTATATGTTTTGGTTAAATATTGTCGCTTGCATGAAATACGTACTCTATATATGATAAAGCGTTTTTTTATTTTTAACATTAAATTATGGCAATTTATAATTTTATTACATGTAATGTTCTGCATTTCCCTCATATAAAATTCTAAAAAATTAGTCGACGTATTTTTAACATATGGTAAATATTTTCTTATTATAATTTCCATTGCACAAAAATATTGAAATGTTTCATCGTTAACAAAAAATAGTGTTTTTTTACGGTAGCATCTTAATTGCACAAATTTAGATTCGCCCATTCGTTTCTTCTTTTAACGTCCGTTGGAATGCGAGACATATAATAATGTTTTTTTGACGAATTATTGCACTTTGAAATGCAACAAGAAGGCATCGTGTGTACGGTGTGTATCCTATAAATAACCTAAATAACTTTCGGCCTCGTGCACTGAAAGTGAAAAGTGCAGAGTGCACGCACTCAAACATTTACCCCCACCACTTATAGACGCCATTTTGTGGGATCTTGGCCAGACTCTGTATTTAGGGACACTAGGCTGCACCAGAACTCTTTTCACGTAGTTGCGGATTATGTGAGAAATATCTGCCGTACATACATACGCAATCCCTAGATACTTTTGCGGACATCCGGTGCGGATTACGGATTGCGGACTGTATGTGACGGCACCCTAATGCGCCGTCTATAATGAACAATAGCAGTAGAGACTGTAACCATGTCGAGAGTACGCTGGTTTTCCAGCTGAGCCATTAATGGTTAGTCGATGAACGTCAAATCGATGTTAATTCAACGTCGATTGACATTAATTCTATATTAATCGATCATTCCCTTGTAGCTAGGGATGTAATAGAGCGTAGAGCAGCGTAGAGTAAAGCCTTGTGTCCACGATGTTAGAAATTGGTCCGAGATCTCGGAGAGAGAAAGAATTAACCAATCACATTTAAACAATTTAGTCACATGATCAATGCGATTGGTCAATTCTTTCTTCATCCGAGATCTCGGACGGATTTCTAGCATCGTGGACACTGGGCTTAAGACCGTAAGAGTAATACTGTATGTATTTTAAGAGTAATACTGTATGTATTATAAGAGTAATACTGTATGTATTTTAAGACTGACATGATCTTTCATGTAACATTTAGGTAAAATAGTAAATTAGGAATACGTTTTTTGGATGGATGGATGAGTGAAGGTATGTACCTTTTCATGCTGACGCTCGACGCTCATTTTCAGCGTCAAAATAGATCATGTGATCAAAATTGACGCTTGATATTCATCAATCACGTCTATCACGTGACTTATTTTGACGCCGAAAATAAGCGTCGAGCGTCAGCATGAAAAAGTATCTTTAGGCTAAGAGAAAATTGTATAAACCAAGTCCCCTTCTTGGCTATACATGTTATATTGTTTGCTGAAGAGAATTATAAATTTTATATTCTATATATGTATAGATGTTATAAAATTTAACAAATCCACGAGAATTTGTATCACAGTCTGCAATTATTGTATATTTAATTTAAAAGGAATTGCTGCGTAAGAGGAAAAGAATAGGTGTGCGAAGTTAGAGTCGAAATTGCGAGATTCGGAGAAAGAAAGAATGATGGGACTTGCTAAAGTGGATATGGGATACAGAGCAAAGTCTTGCATGAAATCGATGTCGAGTTTACGAATGGAGGAAGGAACCACCAATGATTGGTGAAATTTCTGAAAAAGTTTGTTATAAGTAAATTATATATGTATATATGTTGTAACTGCTGTAAAATCTGCCTTTTCTTTCCTTAACGCCAGTTATACGCCAGTGACATTAATTAAGATCGAACCGTTGGTTTTTTCATCGATTATTTCTATAATCCATCGATATTTTTACGTTTGACGTAGAATCGAATTACTAGAAGAGGAGTGCCTCGCACTGAAGGCCAGATTAGATACCGTGCAACAGAATAAAGCATCGGATCTCATCATGTACGAATGCTCGATCAAGCTAGAAAGACTTAAAGACGCATGCAGGTGAGAGAATCTGGACTGTGTGTTCAAACATACATACTCGTATATTATGTATAAGCGAAATCTAATAGCAAATTCGATTGGATGTACTCAGTGCGCACTAGTGCAATTTAAAGCCGTCGTACACAAATTGATGTAAAAATATGTATTTAATATAAATATAAAAACGGATGAAATCCTTAATACATTTGGTTGTGCTGTATTAAGTAAAATTTGATTTTATAATTCAAAATATTTACATTTTACTTTTACACAGATTAAATTTATAGTTATGTACTTATATAACGACTTCAATTATGCACTATAAGTACGCATCAG